AGAAATGGTTCATATATGTGAAGGAATATAAACTAATAAAAATTAAGGCAAAAATCAAAACCAGTAACATAAAAAGGCCTGACTTATTTGTTCATCTTTGATTTATCTTCCACATAAAAGTATTAAGCCTTTCTTTGCTTTCATCCATGGCTTCATCAAACATGACACATAATAATTCAAGGTATTAAAAGATGGCAACATCTTTAGTTACATTGTAGTCTATGACTCCTTACATATTGTAAGGGAAAAGTCAGCATTCCAGGAGCTATGACAATCAACTTTATGGTGCACCAGCTCTCATAAGTCAATGTTATCAATTTATGAACTCATGGTTCCAAATTTTTGTTGCAACATTATCAGTAATTTAAAAATGAATGTGGTATCCAGTGTAGAATATATGCATACACTAAATTACTCCTTTTAATATTACAGAAAGAAGAGTTCTGCTGTATATTATGTGCAGAATTATTCCACCACACTATTCCACAGTAACTCCTCATTTTATATACATTAAGTTGACAATCACATTCATAAATTTTGAAAATTAATACCCTTTTCTTGGAATGAATTTTTTGCACCAAAAAACATACTACACCACAACTCAGATCTCAGCCATGATCTTCAGCCACCTGGTTGTCATACACTGATGTACAAGTGCACCTACCTTTCCAGATTTCTATGCCTCCTTCCCATTATATTTTCTTTTAATCAGTACCCATCAGTTCATTGCTGTTCAATATAAAAATAATATATGCCTACTACACAGTTACTCTCCTAAAATATTATTTACGTATATATTTTCTCTGGTCACTTATCTAGCCCTTAAAAAGAAATAAATTTTCTTTGATAAAATTTCAGTCAAGTGATGGATCCGTTCCATAAAATGAAGAGTTAGCATATACCAAAGGCTACAACAAGATCGTTCGTTTTCAGAAGATCCACAGAAAAATAAAAGCCAGAAATTAAACTGTCTCAAATCTGAGTTTTAAAGATAACAAAAATAATATATATATATACACACACAAAAGGTAAATGTAAAGAGAAAGTTGTCCCTGTGATTAAGCACCATGCTTCAAAGATATATGAAGGAGAGGCAGTAACGCTTCATCTCAGCACCACAGGAAAGTGGTCGTGGTCAGCTTCTTATTCCAGGGCCTAATTGATAGCAGGTTGGGTGAGCCCTATAGACAGCCTGGCATAGAACAGACTTCATGCTCCAACCAGGAACCAAACTTCAGTCTTTCAGTCCATAGCCAGCCATATTATTGTCTCAGTTATTCCAGCCAACATTTACATACACTGACTTCCAAGTTCTCATAAAGTCATGAATAAAGGCTAATACGCAGTCAAAGGACACACTTTTCTTCAATAACAGTGAAATGATCAAGGAAACAATATAATTAAAATATATATCAAATATGTGCAACTTGAGGCACCTCCTCCTTTCATCAGGTGCATTATTTTACCTGGAACAATATACACTGACTCTGTAGTGACATATTCAACAGAAAGATTATTTAACTTTGCACTTCTCTTTTATATAAGTTGGGAACATTTATCTTGAAATGTCAAGAAGTGACAGGCCGAGTTTTTTCACTGATAATGCCACACACCAGAAATACTTATGGAAGAAGGAAGGATCAATCTGAAAGCGATAAGTATATCCTATTCATAGCACTGATAATTTTAAAACCATTCTATATCCATGTGACTCAGAAGGGAATCCTGAGACAGATTGGTTTCAATATTCTTGAATTTTATTCACTAATTCACTAAATTGAAAATGTCTGATTTGAAGGTTTTATTAATAGTTACTATAGGATTCTGACAGTGGTGTATAACACACAGAGATATTGGGTTTTCAGACTTTATCCATGTCCTGTTTTTTAAGATAACTAAGAAAACCATGACGTTTCTGAAACTGGATCTGTTTCCATCCTCAGGTGAGGGAAAAACACCTAGTCTGTTGGGTCCCTTAGAAAGAGCTAGCCTCAGTCACTGCTAGCTCTTTCTAAAGGACCCAACAGACTAGGTGTTTTTCCCTCACCTGAGGATGGAAACCAGTTTCAGAAACGTCGTGGTTTTCTTAGTTATCTTAAAAAACAGGACGATGGATAAAGTCCGAAAACCCAATATCTCTGAGTGAAGGTTTTATATATAATTTATCTCATACAATGACTTTCTTCACTGAAATTTAGGTAATGTGTGTTCCTGGTTGCAAGAAATCTTTTTTGGACACAGCTGTGAAAAACCAAACTAGCGGTTAACATAAAATGAAACATTAATTCTCAATATATTTGGGATAAACAAGTAAAGTGTGATTCACAAATAACCAGATGAAAATTTATTTGATTATTTTGATACTCCATTCTTTTTGTATTATTTCATAAATATAGTTCAAAAACCTGAGAGGCAAAAAATCTGAAGTGGTCCACATTCCTTAAAGGGTTGTGAACCTATGGTAAACAACATAATTACTCTAACTGCTCCCCAGAAGAAAAACAGTTCAAATAATTATAGATAATACTGAAGGTTCACATTCAAATTATAATAACTTTCTATGTATACCATGATGATCTCTAAGTCCATAAAAATGAACCAAGCAGGATAATCCATGTTTCTTGAAATACTGAGCATGTGCTGGGTATAGAATCCTTAAAAAAACAAAGCATCTGATTATTGTAGACAATGTATTTCTGTTTTAATTGCAAATTAAATATTCAAGTACAGTGGAACTCATATATAAAGTTCAATTTCAGTGACACCAACTTAATATTCTCTGTGCAGAATTTCCTCCATTTAAGATTTTCCTCAATGCTCAAATTCACTGGTCCCCAAAGAAACTTTAAATGGGTGTTTCACCATATGTTTCCCCTTAAAGAGCCATAAATGGAATATTTTAATAAAATAATGCGTCCTTTTATTGATTTGAAAGATCTACGTAGACTCATAGATTAGTTGACATTTATTGCTTGTAAAATTATATTATTATGAATGGCATATATGACACATGTGAACCTAACCTTCATGCCACATGTTTCTGCTTTCTAGGATCCTGTTACACCTTAAATATCAAACTATTTTCCAAAGAATGTAACAAAGGAAAGATTGATTTACTTGTTCATAACCAGATTAATCATATTCTGGACAAAAACTTGCTTTCTTACAACTGAATGTCATGGTTATTCAACAAAATATCAACTTTACAAAATAGGACCTTCTGGTGTGGGGGTATTGTGTTAAAAATAAAATTCTAGTTGCTTTTAGAATAAATGTAAGGAAATATAGCACTACTCCATCTTTATGCTCTCCAAAAATTTTACATCATTCTACCGCCATTTAACAGAGAAAATCACAACAGTATCAGCAAATGTGCACAAACACAGAGCAATGTTTTGGGAGCGAATGTGTTAATAGTCTTACACATCAAAGAAAGTATACTAGAAAAGTTAAGATGAAACAATAATAATTCATTATAGCTATGCAGCAACAACTCCAAGACAGAATAACAGTAAACATTTCCTGATGTAGTTCGACTGATGAAATGATGAATGAAAAATATTACTCTTACTGGTATTTATATGCTGAATCAGATGGTCAAGGAATCAAATCTCACCTTACAGAAGTCAGTAAACTGTGCTCACAGAAAGAAACAAACATATACCAGTTGTTCTAACTGACTCCTTGAACTTATGTGATACCAATGTCTTGCTCATCAGGCAAATCATGTATCCAAACAGCACAAGTCCATGTGGCAGTGCTGCTTTACTATTTCTAACATCTCTGAACAATATCAGATCATTAGACAAGTGACTCCAAGATTGTATTGATGAACTCATCTCCCTAGCCTGCATTCTGGCTACCCACAGCATTGTTCTAGTTTAATATAGCAATAATCAAGTTATGTTTACAGTACTCTTTGTATGGGTCTATGTTATCTTATTTGCATTGAAATCCATAGCCCAGACAGTTACAACAGCACAGCAGTTGTTCTCAGAGCATCCTTTCCATAATGACCATTCTGAGCTAGGATCTGTGCAATTATTAAAAATGACCCTCCCACATTTTTTTTAAACCAAGATAGTCCACAGCAGCCTCTACTACTATTCCCAAAAACATATAGTTTAAGAGTCAGTGTTTCTGAAATTAAAACACACAAAAATTAAGCATGGATTTTCATATATTACATATAAATTATAGAAAGTGACAAAATATCTGTTTGTGAAAGCAACAGCAGAATCCATGAACCAATATTAAGGAAATGGCATAATATTTAACAGCTTTCATTTTCAATAATCTTGTACTTTTCACTTCAATGTAAAAGACTTCTCCACGTGCATTCCTGGCATTATACTAAGGAATACTGTACTGGGCTCCTTAGGAGAAACTGGTACATCAAATGATAAATTTCAGTAAATACTTGCATACTTTATTATCATTAATATTTATTAATAAATGTGATCTTTAACCCTTCGATGAATATGCATATGTTACATATATGGTTTAAGTAGAGTATGCACACAGATTATGTCCCCTAACTGTTTGCCTAGGATGTCTTTGTATTTACATTTGCTGCACCTCAGAACAGTCATCAAAAGATGCTATCTTTGTTCATATGATGAAAGCAACTATAACTTTTCTTGTAAAGAGATAAATCAAACAGAGAAAGCCATCAATTCTTCCTGTAACCATAACATTACAATTAAAAGATTATTATTACTAACTTCAAAAATTCTTATCAATTTGCATTGTATGATGAAGGTATATTATGGTAAATTATCTGTGTTGTAGGCCAAATATGATGTTTATTGAAATCGAAGCCTCATAATTACTGCAGCAAGGATGACACCAAGTAATCGTAAAAATTAAAGGGCTAAGAAACCATCATCCAGAAAATGTAAATGAAACACAGTTCTGAAAACTTCATACCCTAGCATTTAATGATGAAAACAATGCATCAGCCAGTGGCAATTCATGCATTTGAACAGATTTANCTTCTTTATTGCCACACCTTGTACTTAAGAAAATGAGCTTAAAAATGACAGCACCAAACAAGATGGTAATTTAACGACGTTCAACATCAGTACACGACTTAGCTGAATGCACTGGGAATCAGCAATGGCTTCCCAGGAATATGAGTGCGGAAGACAGACATATATGCCACTACTAAACCAGTATGGATGTCATTATTTAGGGCCCTCTCAGCAACATCTGACAACACAATGTATGTACACATATTTCTTTTTTAAGCTGGATAGAAAATAAGACACTTTCAACAAATGCACCATTAACAATATGCACTGAAGACATGCCAGTTCTGAACAAGGAGAAGTGATTTATACTCAAACACTTGTGCTAGCAAATTCTAACTAATATGCCCAGAGTTTTAAGCATGTAACAACAGCCTGGAAGCTTTAACATTCTGCATGTCAATAGTTATGTTAAGTTAGATTCCTTGGAGAGGTAGTTTAAGGTTTTATCTTACAATTCTGAAACCTCTGTCAAATTTGAATAAGCAATCTGTACTACTAGATACCCAATTCCATTAATCAGAATTTCATATCCATAATAATGTGGGCATTTTAGTTATTTACAGTTGCCAGCACTAGTATGCTCGAAAGAAAAGTTAACTTCACGTCATACACGCCGAGCAGATTTATTCAGTTTATTGGCTTGCTGGCCACTTCGCCACATTATTTCAATTGGTTTCTCCCTTAGCTTGCCTCCTCAAGAGTGCTAGTGCAAGATCCTGTCGCAATGCATCCTGCTGCTGCTGATTTGCCAAAGGCTGAACACTACGCAGCCCATTCACAATGTCCTTGGTTTTTCCAAAATAAATCTCATTGAGCGTATTGCGAATCTTGTTTTCCATTTCTTCTACCATCCGTCCGATGTTGGCAATGTGTGGCGATGCCTCACTCACACTGGCATCATTCTCAACCTTCAAACCATCATCAAAATTATCTAGACTGAACTCAAGATAAACTGAAAAAAGGAAAAGCTATCCCTGTAACAGACCATAGGGCCCATAGGGCTGTAAGACGTCGAGGCTGTCACATTTTCTCTAGACAATCGGTTCACAGATGGCGGTAAGGTTGTCAGCCTTACATGACAGCTGCTCTTTACCCCTCAGAAAGATTCCTAGTACTCATTTCTGTTAGAGGCTGAGTTGACACCAGGGACACAGTGCAGCTGGAAGGTTTAGGTCAACTGAAAAAATCCACCTTACTAGGACTTGAACCCATGACCATCCAGCATGTAGCATAGTGCCTCAACCAACTATGACGTGGAAATGTGTGCTCCATCTTGATTTTTCACTACTCATTAACCTTTCTCATCCACAAATATGAGTTCCAAATCTTCTCATACTACAGGTTCTAAGACAACAGTTTATTTTCAGGGAAAAGGGGATTTTAGAACTCCCACTTCTACAGGTCTACGTGCTATATTTAAACTGGGGGTTAAGGGTTAAATACAGGGTGGGGTGCAGAAACTTCCTTTTTTTGAAGGCAAATAAAAGAAAAATTATTGGTGATAGACAAAATTTATGTTTAACTAATGAAAGAACATACTTTAGTGTTTTAAATCATGTAGTTTTAAAAAAAAATATCTTGAAGGTGGTGGCCACTGTTCTCTATGCACTGATGCAACCGTTTTCTGAAGTGCCCCTCTGCACGTTCCAACATGTGCACCGGAATTTGGGCTACTCCCTGCCGAATAACATTCTTCAGCTGAAGCAGGTTTGTGGGGGTGTTGTTTAAAAACCTCTGCCTTGAGGTACCCCCATAAAAAAAATCACAGGGCGTTACATCAGGTGAGTGTGCTGCCCATGGGATGCCACCTCAAAGCGAGATGAGCAGTCCGGGGAACTTTGCCCTCAAAACTGTCATCGAAGCTCGGGCTGCGTGGGCCGTGGCACCATCCTGTTGGAACCAGACATTTCCTAGATGCATTTCTTCAAGAGCTGGTTTGAAAAAGTTTTTAATCATGTCCACATACCGCTGCGAATTGACAGTAACTGCATGACTGTCTTCTTCAAAAAAATAAAGGCCAATAACTCCATCAACAACGCACACCATACTGTCACCTTATCACTGTGAAGTGGCCTCTCATGGAGCTCTCTGGGATTGTTATACCACTCCAATAGCGCATATTCTGCTTGTTGCCATATCCGGATAGGTGAAAATGTGCCTCATCATTAAAGAAAACACATGTGTCAGGGGGTAAAGTTTCCAATAATGTTTTGCATGCCGTTATTCGGTTCTGGAAATCACGTGGTGACAATTCTTGCACAATAACCATCTTATAGGGATGTAAATTAAGATGTTCGTGAAGAATTCGACGCATTGAACAATTGGATATGTCTAGGGCGACTGCATGTTTGCGAGCGGAGTGTCTTGGAGATCTCAAAATTGACCGCCGAACTGCCTCCAAATTTTCTGGCATCGTAACGGTCCGTTGTCATCCTGATGATTTTTTCACTACACTCCCAGTTGTCATGAAGTTCTCTACCCACAAAACAATCGATTTCCAGTTGGGAACCGGACCTCTGGGCTTAATTCTGAAGTGAGTATGGAACGCACGCTGCACCGCAACGTAGGAATGGTTGTTCGAAAAATAGGCTTCGACAGCAAACGCACGCTGCTCACTCATCCACCTCATGTCGTACTGAGAGGTATCAGACAGAAACTTCTGCGACTGCTGCGTTCGCCAAGCCTATCCCCATTTTTCTGTAACCTCCCCTCCCTTCACAATGCGTCTTCACAAAAAGGAAGTTTCTGCACCCCACCCTGTAGCACTGGAAAAATTCAACACTCAGCCAGCTGAACCACACAACACATCAATGCATAAAACTGACATGCAGCTAATAAAGGATAATAGTGGTGTTCATTTATGGCAAATGCAGGTATCACATTGCAAAAGTCAGAAATGTAATTAATTAAATGTGTGCGATACCAAAAAAAGATCTTAATGTGACCTATAGGGATAGGACCTTTAGCAGCTTCAAATTCAGAATTAATTTCTGAAATTAGGAATCTTTTCAGACATTTGGTAGGACTCTGTGGATGGGAGGATCAGCCCAACGTGCTCTCTACCTACAGAGAATGACAAAAACAAAGAAAAAATGTAAACATCTATGGCCTCAGCGGGATTCAAACACATGCCCCCAATGTTCAAGCAGTCAAATACAGGGCATGTCTCAAATCACATGGCCACTGCTATGGGCTGTAAGACTTCGAAATGATTATTTTCAAAGAGGTATCCACACCAAAATTCTGTAAGCATTCCTTGCCTGATCCATGCTAATTGTACAGACCATCATATCATTATCTTAGGTATCTCTGTCCTTAAACTCCCTGATTTGTACAAATCACAAAGTACTTTGTTTTCTAGTATCATAAATTTCTCATTTCTTTATACTTTCAGGTTAATGTATCTTTCTGAGTGCCTTGTTTCCAAACACTTGCATTATCTGTTCTTGGATTTATTCAGTTGCGTCATGTAAAGTTTGAGAAACTTCACAGTGAAACTCACCCCCTGCACAGGAAAACCTCCTCCCATAGCTGCATAGTGTTCATAAAGGTGATCAAACAATTACTGCCTCCTGCCTTCTCCTTCCTTTATTCATGCTTAACCGAGATAATTTATCACTTGTTACGATGCCTACCATATCAGCTTTCTATACAACAATCAACTACCAACATAGAAGAAGAATGAAATAAACTGCAAGGGTTGGATAAAAAGTGGTGGCAACACTGCTATAACATGAAAGATGTGCGTCAGGCGGGACTAGTGCCGTCTGTAGCTGATAGCAGAAGTTCAGTTGAAGTAGTGCAGTGGGTGGCTTTGGTTGTGTTTCATTGAGTTGCATTGTGCATCGCCTTGAAGTGCCGGAGCCCAGTTCAAGCACCCCAACAACATGTTTATGAAACAAGAATTCTCCTCGATAAAAATTTAAGTTGCATGAGGTCATAGTGCACAAACCTGTTATCAGGGACTGCAAGAAGCATGTGGTGATGCTGCTTTGCCATATTATAGAGTGGCATGATGGGTGAAATTGTTCCGTTAGGGAAGGATGCCATTCAGGATGACCCCATGTTGACAACCACACAATTCAGCTTCCTGCTTCTTTGTCAGATGTCAATTGTCAATGGGCTGTGTGGGAGTTAGCTGCTGAGGTAGGCGTATGTCACAAAACCGTGCTCCACATTCTGCACAGTATTCTTGGATACTGCAAAATTGCAGCACGTTGGGTACCCCATACAATGGCAACGTTATGCAACCGCACAGGACTTGTTGGACCGGTACCAGAGGGAATGTGACGACTTCCTTGGAAGGATCATCACTCTGGATGAAACTTGGGCTCGCTCATATGAACCGCACTTGAAGCAACAATCAATGAATGGAAGCATCTTGCCTCTCCTCGTCCCAAGAAAGTGCACCCTACACAGAGTAATATGAAGGTGATGTTCATTGTGGCATATGACACTGATGGAGTGATACTGCGCCACACGGTACTGCAGTGACAGGCAGTAAACGCTGCCTACTATTGCAATTTCCTGCATAATCATCTTCATCCAGCACTCAGGAGAAAGCGACGACATTTGTTGGCAACGAACCCCATCATCCTTCATGACAATTCAAGGGCTCACACTGCTGATGTTGTCAAGGATCTTCACTGCTGGCGATGGGAGATACTGCAACACCCGCCATACTCACCCGATATGAGTCCATGCAATTATGAGCTCTTTGCCAAACTGAAAGAATCACTGCAAGGGACACATTACAGCACAAGAGAGGAGATTATTTGTGCTGCAGGGTGGTCACTTCTGGACATCAACAGATGTGGACAAGCTGATGGTGTACGATGCCTTCCACAAATTTGGCAGAAGGTGGTACACATGGGGGGCACTTATATTGAAGGAATGTGTGTTTACCTCGGATAATAAAGTGATTTCAGAACTATAGAAGTGTTGCCACTATTTTTTATCTGACCTTTGTATAAGCTTCCAAATTCAATACAGCACAGTCCTCATAGGAACCAAAAAAGTGTAAAATTACCATCCTACTATAAATGACATGTATACCTGCTTTAATGAAATAAGCTTCAAGATCCTGAATCTATTTCCAGCTTGTATAATATAAGAGTTCTTGAATCCCAACTGAGATACTTACTTGTCTTGTTAGACTACCCCCAAGATTCATGGTTCCAGAACCAGGTTTGTTTGTCTGTAGCCATAACATGGCTGTAGATGTAAGCTTATAATGAGCACTGCGTCCACTAGTCTTCTCTTGAACTTCAACTACGTGAATAGAATCCCAACATCCTTTAATTTTCTTTGAGCCATCACCTGCTTTCTTAATTAAAATAACACCTGAAAGCAAAGAAAACTAATGTCTCTTTGGAAGTGATGGAACAACTGCAACACTTTCAGCTCTGTATGTGTCGGACAACTTGAGAACTTATAATCCACCCTAGCATCACACTCAGTCGAGACAACCTTTAAATCATAACAAAAAATCAATTAAAATGAAAGAAAGATGTGAGATACAGTCACTGTGGTTTATTATATTCTCACAAAATGGACATTGTTGATGGCTACTCCATCAGATTCAGTTATAACAGTTAGAAAATCATGCCCCATCAAATATTTGAGCCCAACTGTTTTGAAATTTAAATTTCAGTTTATTTCAATGAACATTTATTAAGAATTGAGATTATCATCGTGATGAATATTAAGAGTACATGCAGAATTGGAGGTTCTTACGGTCTTTCAAGACATGCCACACTATGTTTTTGCAGATAGGTATTAATGTTTGGAGGAACTTGCTGCCTCCACAGTCGTGAAAGCTGGAATGTTCTCACCAATCTACCAACTACACAGCACTGAATCCCAGAAGACTGTAATATTAACGTTAATCACCGTGAACAGAAACAGTTAATACTGTTTTCATAGCACATAACATCATCACTTCTGAAACAATTTTTATAGCAATGTTCAATCACTCTTTCCTATTATATTTAAAGCTCCAGTGTCTAGTCCTATAAGCACAGTGTTTCCCAGATATTTCAATTATAAATGAGATTTTATTACATTTTACAGGGTGGGGTGCAGAAACTTCCTTCTTTTGAAGGTGAATAAAAGAAAAATTATTGCTGATAGACAAAATTTATATTTAACTAATGAAAGAACATACTTTAAAGTTTTAAATCATGTAGTTTTAAACAAAATATCTTGAAGGTGGTGGCCACCGTTCTCTATGCAACTGATGCAACCGTTTTCTGAAGTTCCCCTCTGCAAGTTCCAACATGTGCATTGGAATTTGGGCTACTTCCTGCCAAATAACATTCTTCAGCTTAAGCAAGTTTGTGGGGCAATGTTTAAAAACCTGTGCCTTGAGGTATCCCCATAAAAAAATCACACAGTGTTAGATCAGGCGAGTGCGCTGCCCATGGAATGTCACCTCGAAGCAAAATGAGCCATCCGGGGAACTTTGCCCTCAAAACTGTCATCGAAGCTCAGGCTGTGTGGGCCGTGGCACCATCCTGTTGGAACCAGACATTTCCTAGATCCATTTCTTCAAGAGCTGGTTTGAAAAAGATCTCAAAATCGACTGTTGAACTGCCTCCACATTTTCTGGCATTGTAATGGTCTGTTGTCATCCTGATGACTTTTTCACCACACTCCCGGTTGTCCTAAAGTTCTCTACCCACAAAACAATCAATTTCCGCTCGGGAACTGGACCTCTGGGCTTAATTCCGAAGTGAGTACGGAACGCACGCTGCACTCCCACGTAGGAATGGTTGTTCGAAAAATAGGCTTCGACAGCAAAAGCACACTGCTCACTCGTCCACCTCATGTTTCCTACTGAAGGGTATTAGACAGAAACTTCCGCATCTGCTGCATTCGCCAAGTCTATCCCCACTTTTCTGCGACCTGAGGGATTAGGTCACTATAGTGCGGGTGAATCACACATAATGTGGTAGTATCATGTACATGGTGTAATTAAAGAATTTCTTGACCTGAGTCCCTTTTTGTATACTCAACAGATTTAGCAACTATTTCACAGTGCTTCTCATGTGACCTGAAACAGCGACTCCAGCAAATCTAACATTACTGTAAATATTTACAGAGTTCCTGTGATTTGAACACACACTGCTCACTCGTCCACCTCGTTTCCTACTGAGGGGTATTAGACAGAAACTTCCGCGTCTGCTGCATTCGCCAAGCCTATTCCCACTTTTCTGTGACCGCCCCTCCCTTCACAATGCGTCTTCATGAAAAGGAAGTTTCTGCGCCCCACCCTGTACTATAGGAGCAGAACTGAGGGATTAAGTCACTATAGTGTGGGTGAATCACACATAATGTGGTAGTATCATGTACATGATGTAATTAAACAACTTCTTCACTTGAGTTCCTTTCTATATACTCAACAGATTTAGCAACTATTTCACAGTGCTTCTCATGTGACCTGAAACAGCGACTCCAGCAAATCTAACATTACTGTAAGCATTTACAGAGTTCCTGTGATTTAAACTCCATGAGTAAAGACCTGAACTTTTCTCTGATCATGACATTTTCAAATTTCTTCTGAGCACTAACTTCAGTTTTGGAGACAGAAAAGGAGTTGCAAGGAGCTGGATCTAGGGGTATTGAGGCTCGGAGCCAACAAATACTGCCATTTCTGTCGATAAATTTTTGCAGACAAAGCAAACTGAACAGGAAGATGGAAACACTGGAGACGCTGATATTCAATATGCCAAGTCTTAGAATGTTTTCACTATATACCTTCCAGTAAATGCCATATAACATCTGTGAGAAAATGCTGATTCACAGTTTGTCCCTATGCAATAATTTTCTGATGCACAATTCCACCATCAGAAAAAAATAGTTCCTACAGATTGAGCACCTTCAACAGAAGTCATGCCTCTTTTTAATTTTGATAACTATTCAATTGCTTTTTTTTTTAGTTCTGTCCACAGTTTCCTCTTCAGAAGAAAGTCTTTAACATGTCATAAATTTCTGCAGCAGTTTCTCCTAGTGTGTAAAAGATCATTATGCTCAAGCACTGTTTTTAACTCTGATTTTTTTTATAAGAAACAAATCCAAGTAGCATAGCACATGATAATACTTCATAATGCATCATTTCCAAATGACATACCATAATATGGTTTTGAAACTGACACATAATCAAGCAGACTGTCTTCTACCCTCATTTAGCACAAGAACTCTGTACTAACTGCAGTAACATCACACGGCAGCCAGTCTGGAAACTGTCTGAACACAGCTTGTCAGAGGTGCAAAATGAACACAAAAATTCATATTGGAAAAACTAAACATAACAATTTCCATTCTCTATAAATATCACAAATTATAACATAGTACCTGCAAAGCCATGGTCCAAATCCCACAGATATACTGAGGACACTCCTCCTTCAAAGTACATTTCTCTATACTGATCAAAGGCATGATTTGCATCAATTTCCAATTTCCTCAAGCGTTCTGAAGGCATTGAACCATCCTCTAATGGGGGATCATAGGTGTTACTCCACGGAGACCTACAAAACATCCAGATGATGCAAAACAAAAAACTCACCTTTCTAGTGATAATCTATTGTTTTGAAATAATTCTTAACAGTACTAATACTGAAGAATGTGGTGCCGTGTAGATATTGTGTAAACCGACGTTTTGGAGGAACATATTGCCTCCATCTTCAGGGTATAACAAAAAATAATCTGCTGCAGCCACCTGCTCACAGATTTTTTATACCCTGAAGATGGAGGCGATACATACCTCTGAAACGTCAGTTTACACAATATCTACAAGGCGCCACATCCCAGAAGATGGCATTTTTCATAGTCACGGTTGTGAAAACCTCAAATCTTACATAGTATGGATACTCTTGATTAAAAGGCAAAACTGAACAGACACAGTATATATGCATGGTATAAAATAATAAAACACAACTATCCTGAGATCATGCACAGTTGGAAGAAATTCTTAAGAACATACACAGTAGCCTTCACTCTCTATTATATGAACTAATCAAAGGGAGATGAAGTACAAACAAATGAAAACCATATATAAACAAGAACAGTTTTATTTTAAATTCAAGCATTAACGTGAACAGGCTATACTAGTGGTCTAGTCATAATTTTAGCAATTTTAAAATTGGTAGTAGCATGGAATATCAAATGAAGAAAACCTATAACATCTATCTGGATAACCAATGTTGAGATGAAAATTCGCAATGTGTAAACCCACCCCCAAACCAAATATGAACAAACCATAGCCATTACATCATGACACTCTGCTCCAAAATGGGTTTTGTCACTAAGTGTAAGTCAGTATTCTCTGTTTCTCTAAGACCCTTCCACTTAAGCTTTTAAAGAGTTCTTTTCCATCGAGCATTTACTACCAATCTTCTGGGAGTATTTCTTTTATATACCCCATGTGTGTTATGTCGCATCCATAACATCCTTTATTTTTTTTTTATTGCTAGTGGGGTGGGACTAAGTTCCTTGTGCTGCAGCCACTCTGGCCTATTGTACCAGCCCCAGATGATAGGTGAGGGTGACTGTGGATCAATTGGTGGAATGAAGATTGGCAGGGGAAACCAAAGTACTTGGAGAAAACCTGCTCCAGTGCCACTTTGTCCACCACAAATCCCACTTGACCAGCGCTGGGATCGAACCCGGGCCGCCACGGTGGGAAGCCAGCGGCTAACCACTTGAGCTATGGCGCGGCCTTCCTTCTTGTTTTAATAACAATATAATACAATAATTGAAGAAAGATGAAGTGACAGGAAGTTGGAGAAAAATGCACAATGAGCTTCATAACTCGTACTCTTCTCCAAGTATAATTAGAATGATCAAGTCAAGGAGGATGAGATAGCCAGGGCATGCAGCATGAATGGGGGAGAAGAGGAATGCATATACGATGTTGGTGGGAAAGCTGGAAGGAAGGAGACTGCTAGATAGACCACGGCATAGGTGGGTGAACAATATTAAAATGGATCTTGCAGAGACAGGATGGGATGGTATGCACTGGATTAATCTGGCTCAGGATGGAGACCAGTAAAGGGCTCTTGTAAACATGGCAATGAACCTTTGGGTTCCATAAAACGCTGGGAAGTTCCTGAGTAGCTGCAGAATTGGTGGCTCCTCAAGAAGGTAAGTGAGTGAGCACAATAATAAGAAGCTCCTTTAATATAATCTTCTCCATTCTTCTGTTATTCCCTCTGGCTTATGTATAAACATTTTCCTGAGCACCTCCTCAAACATCCTCAACAGAGTATGTTCTTCCATGAGAATGAGAGACTGATAATCAAGTTTCTGAATTTTTTCACCTGTTGAAATAAAAGATTGTTCTGATTGACTCTTAATTTGTCAACTCTTTTGGTATGAATATCATCATATATCTGTTACCACTGTTCCCAAGCAAATTAATGCAGTGAAGAGAATAAGTTTAACATTTCCATCAACTGAATCCAGTTTTTTAACAGTAAAATAATCTTCTAGCCCAACATTAATCATTAAAATTAACTGCATACAGTTGACAGCAATTTTTTTTCTCAAATTAAGAAATCAGCGTATTGGCAATAATGACTTCTATCAAAAGAATATAATGATATTAAAAGGAGTCATAACTTCATCAATACTGTGGCATATTTGGACAACTCAAGAACTGTGGAGCCAGAGAAACAGCTGCTGCTAGCAGATGGATCTGAAACAACATTCATTTCTAGGCGATGGCAGCAAACAGTCAATGGAAAAAGTCTGTTGCTAGGCAGCAGATTCTTAATAAGCAAAAATAGATGGCCACTGCTAGGGAACTTCTTGGTAAACATGTTACCATACAACAATGAATGGGGCTGTCTGCACAGGCCGTACCGATTAGTTATAAGGAAGACAACTGGGGCAACCAAGTCAGCTTTCTATGGGAGTCTGTGAAAAAAAGAGTCAGTTGGAAAGAAGTCAGCTGTTTTTTAGCGCAATTCACACAACCCCAATGACAATTACTTCCACACTATTTATTCCAATTATTACTGCATCTCACTTGCATACTCACCTGTAAGAATCTCCATCCCTATTATAGTCACATAATAAGTAGTCCTTGCCCATATCTCTGTCTCTAGCAATCTTTAGAGGCTGATCAACTGATGACAGAAGATCCTCACAGAGACTTGGTACCAGGTCAATTAGGTCACTCAAATTCTTCTCTATCTGTTGTGGAGGCAACCGTCTCATTAAATCTAATGCACAGTCCATTTGCTGATCAGTCTACAACACACAAAAAAACAGATTATACAGTATAGTTACTAATTCACATTATCTCAGATCGGTAAATGCCTTGCAACTGTTACAATGCATAAGGTAATGCATAAAGCATTACTTTTGATATATCTGTTAAGTACTGAATGGAAAACCTTAGCACTAACACTTTCTCCAGAGCTAAAATTCCTTCACATGTGATAAGTCTACATATTAGGTTTATTTAATAAACATCTTGACATTTATACACATCAGTTGTGTTTTTTTTTGGAATGATTTATTTTTTGACCAGTAACCTTAAATAAGATACAAACTCAATGATAGGCCCAAGTGGGTGAGAATGGTTCTTGTTGGTTAAGGGGCTGTAAACAAACTTCTGCCTCGATGACTGGCATACATTACCATCGAACTATAACTATTACGAACTATTACGAACAACACGACGACACCGTATTCAAATAACAGAAAGAATGTTAACTATATATTAGTAAGTTTGCTTAATAACAAAATTATGCATTACCCTATTTGTTACCTATATATTACTATACAGTAATATTCGTACATAAACAACTTGCTAATAACTTATGTTATCATACATTCGAAGATATAAAGAAGTCAAAAGCAGGAAAGGGGTGTGAACCTAAATACAGAATTTAAATTATGACCAAAGGAAGAACAGAAATGTATCACAAGAAAAAACTGTTTAGCGGCGTAACAGACATGTTAAGAATATGTAATGTAATAACACGTACCATTTTGATTACAAATACTGTTCGTTTTAATATTTACACAATTAGTATGACCAATGTCATACACCTGTTCGCAAGAAAAATGGTGACTACTCGACAGATTAGGCCTACTACGAAATCAACAAAACGTTACATGTTACGAAAACCCAACCTGAATCTCATTGTAATCTAAAATTATTTTGTAAAATAATGGAATAATCGGAACTGGCAGTTAACTTCAAAATGCCGACGTCAACGAAGCGAATGTACGTTGTATATATTTCCGGTTCAACATCCGACGTACCACCTCATAAAGAAAACCATAGTGCATATTCGTAGTCCATCAAAACGGAAAATCAGTTCCATCAGTGCCTTCTAGATGTACACAGTACCGACTTTCCGATATGATAATAAAATATAGTGTTTGGAGTGCCGAGATTAACATTTTCTCACATGGACAGGATTCCAGGAATCACGAATGACTCGGAACAGGCCACGCTGACACTAAATAATAATAATAATAATAAAAAAAAAGAGGCAAAGCTATCCCTGCAACAGGCCATGGAGGCCCAAAGGATTGAGACGATGAGGGTCCCACATTATCTAGACAACTGGCTCATAGATGGCGGTAAGGTTGTTTGCCTTACGCTCCGGCCGTCCTTTACACCCACAGGAAAATTCGTGGTACTCACTTGTCAGACGCTGTCGACCCCAGGGCCACACTATGGCTGGAGGTTCAGTTAAAGTAAAAAGATTCACCTCATCCGGACTCGAACCCGCGAGCTTCCGAATTGTAGCATGGTGCCTCAGTCAACTACAATTCCGCGTGTCCAGAACAAAAAATCTATTAAATTAATCTCGCCAAAGGTTTGATGAACTGAGGCTTTTCATAAAATAAAATGTTACTTCCATTCTAAAACAATTACTCAAATGTTTCATAGCAGAAGCTGTGCAGGATAGTATCTATGTGCAACTAATACACAGTTTCCAATACATTGGTAAAATAAGGAATCTGGAGTTATAAAATTAGAATTTGGTTCACATGGAAATGAAAATTTTGAGACAACCAATAAATAAAGTCACAATAAAGATAGACAAAAAACTGGAGAATGTGAAATGTTTTAAATATTTGGGTAGCTTGTTAACAGATGATACAAGGTGATACAGATGATACAATCCAGGATTGCCATGGCAAAAGCTGCATTTAGCAAGAAGAATCTTTTTACCAGCAAATTGGACTTAAATTTGAGGAAGAAACTAATGAAATGCTATGCTTGGAGTATAGCTCTATGGGGCTGAAACATGGACACTTAGGGCAGTAGATCAGAAACATCTGGAAAGTTTCGAAATGTGGTGTTGGAGAAGATCAGTTGGACCAATTATGTGAGAAATGAAGAAGTGTTAATTAGAGTCAGTGAGCAGAGGATTATCCTACACAAAATAAGAAAACGGAAGGCTAATTGGATTGGTCATGTTTTACGCAGAAACTGCCTTCTAAAAGAAGTTATTGAAGGAAAGATAGAGGGGCGGATAGAAGTGACAAGAAGACGTAAGAAGATGCTGGATAACCTTAGGCACAGAAGAGGATACTGTCATTTGAAGGAGAAAGCTCTAGATCGCATTAAGTGGAGGAATTGTTTTGGAAGAGACTGTGGACCTGTCATCTGACAGATTACTGATGATGATGGAAGGTTTCATCTGTTAAAGAGACTTGGGACAGGACATACAACCTGACACCAATGGATAAAAAGTCCATGCATTGAATCCCAATGCAGGATTTTTCAAGGTAAATTTAATTTTTTCTATTAAAAACCATATTCGATTTTCTCTTCTACATAAAAAGAATTCCCTCATCAAAAATATCACACCATCAAACCACAAGCTGATATCAGGATAAGCCTCTTCTTTTTGCAGACAGCACCGCTGCAGCGAGGCTAGTTGCTCGAGCGAACATTATCCTGACCACCAAACCAGACTGAAAATTAACTCCATTGAATAGTTCTTGACAACCAGACATGCACACTAAGACTTCTGTAAGTGCAGCTGTGTAGTCTACTTAAATGAACATTTTGGTGTGAATTTGCTACCCCAATCTTCTGGGTCAATTACAAAACCAACACATTTATATGCATTGCCATGCATCAGAACATGTATTAACATTTAACTGAATGGGATGAAAACTTCAGTGCCAGCTAACGTATGAACGTGGAAAAACATAAGAGCCCCCCAAAATTTTTACACTCTGTAAGCAGCTTTCAATTTCTACAGCCCTACCCCAATCACAGGGGCACTACCAATATATTCGTAGTTACAAAGGCAAATTTGAGACAGCTGTGTTGACAATTTCAATATTAATGCTGTTTCATTACTGTATGCATAAAGTAAGGGGTCCCTCATAGGCGGTGCCATAGCTCAAGCGGTCAGTCTCTGGCTTCCCACCATGGCGGCCCAGGTTCGATCCCGGGTCTGGTTAAGTGGGATTTGTGGTCGACAAAGTGGCGCCCAGTGAGGTTTTCTCCGAGTACTTCGGTTTCCCCTGCCAATCTTCAGTCCACCAATTGCTCCACAATCACCCTCACCTATCACCTGGGGCCACAACACAAGGGACTTAGCCCCACCCCAACAGAAAAAATGTGGGGGGGGGGGGGTCCCACCATACTCAAAATCCAATTGTAACATCCTACACTGAACTAATACAAGTTACAGAAAAAGTACCTTCATGAAAATGAACATAGGCCATTACTTCCTGCAACCAGTGTGTGCTGGATTGCTGTTTTGCACTGCCATGATTGTACATCTTTCGCTCAAAAACTGAGTTTCAGCTAATTCCTTGCATGTCTGCAATTATTCCTTGTACTGGTTAGGAACTTCTAGAAACATGTTCCATCTCCAGCCCACTTTTCCTCTGTAGTTCAACATGGCTGCTGGCAAAATTTTATTTTTGGACCCTGATTAATATGCATGCAGGATCTCTCACCCTGAAAAGTGCAGTAGGATCCCACCAAATGGTAACTCTACAAGGCTACACACTTTCTAAATGGTTGTCTATTCTGTCACTGACATGAGAACTTAAAACCTTACAAAATGAGCGAGTGTTTCACATCAGCTGGCATCACCAGCAGCAGTGAAGAATTGCTGTGACAATGTAATTTAACATGCTGGACAAAATATTAGTGTCTCAGTCAGTCTAATCAGTGCAAAGACTGTTCACGAAAATATAACACTTTCTTGTCAGTTCCTCTGAAAACAGAATTTTGCTTTTGAATACTAGTATTATGGGTGCTACAGCAGCACTACCAAACAGATGAGTAAAATGGAATAAAATTAAATACAATTATGTGGAAACTGTTGAAAATATTTTAGATTTTAGAGAAATAAAGAAAAAAATTGAATGCCAGAAGAAATATGGACAAAAACTCAAAAGCAGAAAAACATAAAAATGATAAGTTCCAAGAGGCAAAATAAACGTATTTACAAGAATATAAATTTGTGGAGGACAGTGGTGCTGGGGCAGGCTTTCTCAAAGTACTTCGGTTTCCCCTGCCAATCTTCATTCCACCAATTGCTCCACAATCACTCTCACCTATCGTCTGGGGCTGGTACAATAGGCCAGAGGTGATCGCAGTACAAGGAACTTAGTCCGACCCCACTAATAAAAAATATATTAAAAAAAAAAACAAGAATATAGGGTAGCTGACACTGAAGTTAAAATGACCACCAGAAGAGATAAAAGAAAGTGCATGAGTGAACAAGCAAATAAAGCAGAGGAAGCAGTAAGGGAATGAGAAATAAAGGAATTATACAATATTACAAGAAAATTGTCTAAAAGAAAATGTCATGGTATGCAATCTATAACAAAACATGGGGCTCAGCTTACAAATGAGAAGATGGCAAGAGTATTATTTTACAGAGATTTTTAATCCAACAGTTACACAAGTGATTCCTACATCAAAACACACAGATGTGATGAGGCACAGAAAGAAGAAAAAGCAATGGAAAGATCACCCAATAAAGATGAAAGCAAAAAAGCTCTAAGAAAACAGAAAAAAAATGGCAAGGCCACAGGTTCGGACAATATGCCACTCAAACTGTTAAAGGAGGATATGGATTTAACAGTAAATATACTCTGCAATTTGAAAAGAACCCCTAAGACTGGAGAAAGGTCTTCTGTTCAAATTACCAAAGAAAGGAAATGTTCTTAACTGTTCAAACTGGAGAGGAATTACACGGCAATAAGTAAAATATTTTCTCGAATCTTACGTGAAAGATTAAGAAAGCAAAAGGTCATCTGTTGATCAAATTAATAGTCAGAATACTGACAGACCAGTCAAACGAATTTCTTAATGCTCCGCACCTTCTATTTATAAATTTTGAGAAGGCTTTTGATTCCATAGATAGGAACCAAATATGGATAGAACTAATGAACTCTGGAATTCCACCAAAAATAATAAAACTCGTACAAAGATTATACTTGGCAGGTTATGCAAAATGGGAAACTTAGTTCACCTACTGAGACTAGTACAGGTATCAAACAAGGGTGTATTCTTTCACCAACCATATTCCTTGTTATGATGGATTCAGTAAGAACCACAGAACACAAACAAAGAGTTAACACAACGGGACCTCACACCTAAACTGGAGGGCTTGGAATTCCGATGTCTTTTTGCATATAATTCTAAGGATATGCAGAAAAATTGGCCAATTTAAATAGAAAAGCTAGAAAGGTTGGAATGAAGATTAATCATGCAAAAACAAAAGCAATGTGCATAAATACTAAAAATAAGAATAATTTTACCCTAGACGGAAAAGAAATAGCAAATTTTGATAAATTCCCTTATCTTGGTAGCATAGTTATAAAGGAGGGTAGTAGTATGGAAGATGTAAGAAATAAAATATCTAAAGCAAATAATCAAGTGACATTTCATTAAGAACAAAACTAAGAATTTTCAACTCTAATGTGAAATCAGTTTTATTATATGGATGTGAGACATGGAGACACACCCAGGAAATATGCTGAAAATTACAAAGTTTTGTACAGGCGATGGACAAAAATATAGAAACACCCAACAAAAAAACACATTACCGTGACTAATATGGTGTAGGAAAACCTCAGGCTTGCAGAACTGCCTGCAGTCTCCTTGGAATGGATAAATAGAGGTCCTGTATGATTTGCAAGGGAATCTTGTACCATTCTTCCTGCAAAACATTGGCAAGTTCTGTTAACAATGATGGATGTGCATAGCACACAGATTGCTCTCCAAAACAGACCACAAAGGTTCAATAACATTGATATCTGGCGATTGTGG